AGTGGATGTAATTTTCAATTTGTTTGTTTGTGTTTCCTAATTATATCTCTTGTCAAGTGGAGCATAACAAAGAGAATAAGAAATAACAATTTTCCGTAAAGAAGGACCAGATTTGAGCTCAAATCATCATTGCTTCCTTTAAGATCACACAATTCACAGAAAGTTATGTTTTGACACATCACACATGAGGCATTCCCTTTTTGTCAACAACAACATATGACATGCAAACAAATTCCGAATACATTTTAAAGAGCGATTATTAGTAATTTGTACGTAGACCTTCCACAAATATTATGAACTGAAGGTTTCAAATCTAAAGAGATTAAGGCCCAAAGTAGGGAACTTCTAGATTGAATAAGAAAAAGACATACAAAATTTTATGGGTTTCGTAATGTTCACGTTCGTAAAAATAACAAACGTTCACCGAAAACCTTTGATCGTTCAAATCTACTCTGTTACGAAATGTAATTGATCACGCTAAATAATTTTTTAAATTACATGTAATATTTTTTATCTATTAGCACGTACGGTTAGACAGGAGAAAAAATAATTAATGAAATATAATGCGGTTGGTCAAAAAGATAAAACTTTGGAATAATGCTTTGGTTAGTTGATTATATTATATCATTACCCAATATATAAAAGTATTACTATTTTTCCCCATTAACTATTTGGTACACGAAGAAGAATCAACATTAAATTCCCTTATACCACCAATTTAAGTAAAATTTAATTATTTTCCTTTTTCTTTTCTTTTTTTCAACCTGCTTCATATTAATGTATGGTTTGTTAACAGTGGCTTTGCTCCGTATTGACGAGCTCTGGTCTTACCATCTCATAGTTTGTTTCTATCTTACCATCTCATAGTTTGTAATTATTTTACTTTTTTAAAAATCAATTTAACATTTCAACATATATATGGTTTGTTTAACTCAACCCGGAAAACAAAACTTACCAAAAAAGAAAAACATAAGATCAAGCTTTATCACTACATATCAAGTAGTCTGCATCTTTCTGACTAATGTCAGGGGTAGTCATGCCCCCTACATTTCTGATTAACATGTAAACCAATTAGGCCAAAGCTTAACTGACATACTTCCCAAACAAATGTATTTTTTGTTTCCAGGGAGAATCGAACTCAGATCTGGGAGTTTCACCCTTCACCAAAGCTTCCTCTGCCACTAGACCACAGATGTTTCGTCGGAAAGCATTACAAACTCGGGACAGACATTGTGGTGGCCCTTCTGGGAAAAGTTCACTCTGAAACACTTCGGTGCGTTTCTACCGGGGATGACCGGATCAGCCGATAAGGTTTATCAAAAAAAAAAAAAAGTAGTCTGCATCTTCTATACATTAAAAGAGAGTCATTGGTGTTTATGTGTCAAGTTCACAATTATAGTCTTTTATTTTTTTTATTTAATTACTATCATTTTTGCCAAACACTTTTAAACGATCATCTTAGGTATGTTTTACCATCGTTCTTCCATGAACAATCTATTTATCTATTAGGCAAGTCGTTTCTTGCATGTTTAATTTACTTAATGGGATCTGATGATCTAAACCGTTACCTTTTTTGTTAAAGATCTAAACCATTACTAACTTTATCATTATTTGCATTTCCATAAAAAGTTAAAAACCTTGTCATTAGGCAAGCCGTTTCTTAAACCAATGACGATTAAGAAAAAAAGGGATGGTTGAGCTTTCTTGGGACTACGTCCATGTTACAACCTTACTCTTTGCATGTTTTAATATAGGGTTAATATATGTGGTGGGATCCAATCTAAACCATAAAAATCAAGAAACCCACGTAAACGAATTAGGCATGCCTCCACATCTGAATCTATATCATCAGGTTGTTTTCAAATAAAACAAAATTTGTGTAAACCGATGGTTTTGGGAAAGCACATGGTAATGATAAAATGTCTGATAATAACACTATAGGGCATTCGAAGAAAGAAAGCATAGCTAATAGCCAAAGAGGTATGGAACACACATCCGTTCGACTTTTTCGTTGTTTATATTAATCCCTCTTAGGCTCTTAATAATTTCTTTAAGCGATGTATACTATAAATCAAAATGGAATGGGAGAGCCTCCGAACCACACTTGGATAGAGCATTTAGTTAAAATCGGTTTTTGTATCGGACTTGTTCATCCCTTCTAGTCGTTGTCGCTTAAGGCGCCTTTAATCTTTTTCCTTGTAACAGAAATAGAAATTTTAGCAAAAAAAAAAAAAAAAAAGGTTGGGAGCATTTATTTGAAAATATTTATTGATTGTATTAAAGTTTGTCAGATTTAAGATCCAGAAATGTATATAAATGACACGAATCCCATAATGTAATGGATTTATGTATATTAAAATGTTACAATATTCGAAGAATAATTAATGCTTCATATTCTTCAGTTTCTTTTTACTCAGTTTTCTGTATATTGCTTCGATTGATGAGAATATGAGATGGATTGTACAAGTGTAATTTCCTCTTATCATGACATCTCAAATATTCTTGTAAGCTTTAAACCTTTGTTTTATCTTGTTTCCTCGATCTTCCACAACATGATTTGTAGAAATATATCTGACTGGAATTATCGAGAAAACTGCCTTTTCGAAGCATCAAACGAATATAGAAGACAAGAAAGGGTACTGGGAATAATTTCCCTTATCTTAAGGAAAAAAAAAAAAACAGAAATAATTAGTATAAGTGTATAAGTCTTTTTTTTTTTTTTTTTGACAGCAAGTGTATAAGTCTTTTATTTTATAGCTTTCGGAGAAAAAGCAATAACTTAAAAATGAAGATCCAACATTAATACATTAGAAAGAAAAAGAAAAAAAAAACTATATGGAGAAGCTAGCTCAAGACCTTTAACCAACAAAAAAAGACTACTGTAGACTAATTCAAAATTTTACATTTTTCATATGAATAATGTGACAGCTAAACGTGTACTTCAACTAAATTCAATTTTTATCTCAATTAATCGAGCCAAACCACTGGGTTTTTACAAAAAATGAATACAAGTCTTGTTTGACAAAAAAAAACCACTGGGTTTTTACAAAGAAGCAACTTGATTTATTTTAACTCAAATACTTTTTATAAGTAGGAATGATATAACAAATTGATTATTAGTACTAAGCTATTGGCATAGATTTAGGGGGAACATGGTGCCCAATACTTGAATCTTTTTGAAACTTGAAGTTGCTTTGTGTGGTAAGTCATGATTAGTAAAATTTATTTATATGTATTATTGTTGTTTTTATAATTTATTATCATGAGCTACTAATGTCGGTTGGATTTGACATCACTTTACAATACCTTTCTTGTTACCAAAATTACATTATGAGTAAATGAATCTTCCTTGGAAGTGCTATGTTTTCAGTCCTTTTTGAATTTTTTCCTCCACAATGGAAAAAGAAACAATTTTAAAAACAAGAAAAACACATGTGAGCTTCTCCGTTCCTTCTTTTGTTTTCTTTCTCTTTTCCGATTAGAGAGTTTTATTCAGTCAAATTACTAATTATGTTAAAGGCGTATTTCCTGAAGTGTTCTTAATTACTGATAAGAGTTGTATCACTAGAATAGTATTATTCAAATTCCGGGGGAAAGTACTGAATTGTGATTGGAGAAATTAAAGGGATGTATTACATTTATATTAAGTTTTGTCAACAAAGTTTACCGGTCATTAATTTTTCTCCATTTTCACAGAGATGAAAGTCGAATTCGAGCACATCGAATACCAACACATGGGACTGAATTATCACCTAGGTGTGAGATCCTCAGCAGTGGCTTAATTATTAAATCTTGACTTGGAAAAACATAGTGTTTTTATGGTATTCGAGGGTATTCCTCATATTTGGTGGTATTTGAGGGTACTATACTTTGAGAAAACTAAGCTTTGGAAACACTATGCATGCAAATAATAACAATGAGTTTTTTTTTTGGCATCATTTATGAACGTAATCACTAATCATTTATCAATATGTCGCTCATCCTTATATTATCATAAGTCAAACTCGTTTATCCGTTTTTTTATTCTTACGTTATAGATACTTAATAAAAGTGCATATTCTTAATAAAACTAATACAGTATGTTTTTGCTTAAAACGAAAGGAAAAAAAAACAAAAATGGTTTTCTAAACTACCTATGGCAGACGATCAAACTGTTTCAAGAACTAGATATATATTTTTCATGAAAAAATAAATCAGCTAGGGTTTGTGCAAACTTTTTTCTCCAGAAGAAATTTGATGTCGAGTTGTATATTCAGTGGGTCATTTGACTTTAGGTAAAATGTAATAATTCCCTCAGCTTTTCGTACACTAACATGACCAAAGAGGATCTCGATCCTCTATGGTTGGGAGAATTAAATAATAATATATTTTCATGATAAAGTGCATCAAAAATCGAATTTTCAGTCCACTAATTATAATTAAAATTCCTATAAAATTGACATCATATAAAAGAATCTTCTATCCAGGTCAAGCATTTGAAATTAAATTATTAAATTTGAACACTCACATAAAACAGGTAAAGACAACTGACAAGTCATTTTCAATACAGAACAAATAACCAAAAATAAATACAGTAATTTATTAAAATTTACATTCTTCTAAAATATATCTGTTTTATACTTTTATTGTTATTGTTTTGATGCAATATACAATACAATTAATGATCAACTAGAATTATAATTTCTTTTAAAGAAAATTAAAACTATAGAACCCTTCGTCGTAAGAGTCCTTCCTTCACCAGAAAAAGGAAGAAGAAGTTGTTGAGTATTGCAAAAGAGGCTGTTGCACCACAAAGCTGCTCACAAAAGCTTCCTCTTTCTCATGCAGCTCATCCAATTTCTGCCACCAATATTTTAATACATAAGAGATTAATTTTTATTAGCGACAACATATTTGACCACTATAATATACTAGTAGTGTTTTTCATTGCAATCAAATTTATTTATGACATTAGATTTTTATGAAAATACTTTTTCTTTAGCCGTTAATTAGTGAAGCTCTACGTGATTTTGTTTGATATTGAACTCCGAAGTTTTAGCAATCGTATGAAATTTTATATCGTCTACAATTTACACACATTATCAAATTTAAACCCGAGTTATGATACGACGATACAAGTTCATCCTTTTCCTTTACGTTAGGAAGTTTGATTAAAAAATATTGTAGAAGAAACCTAGTCTTTTGAATATGATTTACCCAAAGCTCGGAGTCGTCATCTTCAATGTTGGGGATTTCTACAACTTCATCATTGCGTGCGAATCTACCGCGTATTCGAGGTCTACTGTCGGCCAATGTTTTCCGGCATGCATACTTTATTTCCATACAACAACAAAAAAAAGAGTTTATAATCAAAGCGTTCCAAATTTTGAAAATATAAGCCATGTTCGTTTGCTTGTCGCTAGATTCAACAGCGACAACGTAGTAAACATTGTTACCTTTATAGTTTTTTTTTTGTTGAAATATTTTTACCTTGATAGTTTTAGTAAAGTTTCTCTGGTTTCGTTTAGCTCTGTACTTTGAGATTTTCTCTTTACGTTCTTCTGCACTGTAACGTCCAACCTTGAAGTTTTGTTCCTCGGAAAACGGCACCGTTGAGTTCTCCGACGATCGCTGCATTTGGAAATTGTTCTGAAAACCAAAATAAAAATCAAAACTTTTAGTAAAATTACAGTGCAGTCAAAAAAACAATTTACAGTGCAGAGTAAAAGAAAAACAGAGCAAAACATAAAACAGAGAGACCTGCAAATCTCCGGTGCTGTAGACGCGTCGCATCTGACCGGACAAGAAAGCATTTTCCGGCGAGCTCAAGTTATTGTAATTAAGATTTGAAGAATCCATCATCGGAATGTTGAACGGAACCTGGTTTGGTTTCCCCTGGACCGAATTGCTGCTAAAGCTTCTCTGCATATATCTCCCAGCATTCTCTATGGCACTGTAGCTTCGTGCCATTGATGCCGTCTGATTATGACCGTCGAAGAACTTCTCTGTTTTGACGGCGTCGGAGATTTGGAAATCTGAGAAATTTGGATACAATCCGGTGGGAATATGCTGAGAGAGAGTTAGGGTTCCAAGAAGATCACTTGGAGGAGATGAAGAGAGAATGTTTTGAGGGGTAAAATGGTCAAAAATGTTGAGTGATTCATCAACAGAGTAAAGTTCATTGTTACAGAACAAATCAGTAGTTGTTGTTGTGTCTGAAGAAAACATTTCTGGACTAGAATTTCGGAATATTGAAGAAGAAGATGAAGAAGAACCATCAAAGATATAAAGATCTGAAGCAGAAGCCATTTTTTTTGAAGTGATTAACAAACACAAACAAGTAAAAAAAAATAAAAATTCCCGGTTTATGTTCTAGTGATGTGTTTTTGTTTTACCAAAAATGGCAAAAAGTATAACTTTCGAAAATGTTCCAAAAAAAGATTTTTTCTTCTTTGGTTTGTGAGAGTTTCTCTGTTTCAGAACCAAGACATGACAGGTGAAGTTTCTTTTGTCTGGTGGGCGATGTGTATTTATAACGGCGGAAAGTTTTGAATTTTATTAATATGTCCTTATACTTTGTTCATTTTATGGATTTATTTATTATGTTTTGCATTCTTACATTTTTAACCCAAAATGCTCACGTCCAAATAGTTTAATTTAGAATCTACTTGGTCTCTCTGTCTTTTTGATGTATGATGTGAGCAAAAGCTCCTTTTTGGTTGTTGTTATATTACTATTAAAATTTTACGTTTTAGAATCAATTCCGCCATTTGCATTGTTTTTGAAAATGTACTTTTAGAGTATATAAATAAATTGTTGTTGAAAATATTCGAGAGAATTTCATTTTTCAATCAACATTTTGTTTATTTGCAGCTACTATTTAGAAAATAAATGATATATTTAATCCTACACATGGACCCTTCGCCTTATTAAGAGTCTTTCACGAGAAAGAAGAAGAAGTTGTGTATTTCGAATTAGACTGTTGCACAACAAAGATGCTCACAAAAGCATCCTCTTTTCATTAATTTGGTCACAAAGGTCAATATTCTCTCCATCGTCGAATATGAGAATTTTGCGGTAATATAGATCATTAGTATATGTAGATGGTACATTAGCAATATAGAAGCTAAAATGTGTTTAATTAAACCCTGACCCTTCAAAGCTTTAAAACCTATGAGACAACTAGGCTGCCTACAATCGAAAAGAATCTTTGTTTAGTTTTGCATCAGGAATTTCAAATTCGAAGCTGCATTACAGAATTTGGTCCAACTAGGATCACACATGTGTTCTAGTCTGGATTCGTAACACTACAATTCCTTTATATGATGTTTGGGGTACACCATGCTACACAATGAAAAGTGACTTTAAACTGAACCACCAACATACAATGTATTATAGGTTCAATCATCAGAAATATACCATCAACTTATAAAAAAAAAAATACCAAATCCCGCTGCCATCATGCGTTCATCAAACTCTGGTTATTCTTTATATTCGATACGGACATCACGCTTTACGTTTTGATAGCTCATATTTCGTCAGCATCTAAGCATCCACCTTAGGCCAGGAAAAAAAGTTCTGATCGGTTAAGTGCCTGTACATATTGTATGAGTTAGCATGAGCAGGACCAGACACGCACCCTATCTTAAATGCCAAAAGAGCCTAGATTCATGAGACTAGCTGCAACCTGAAAGTGATCATAAAAAAGTCAGACAAACCCCTTAAGCATAATTAACGGCAACACACTCTCAATTTGGTCCTTTTCTTTTTCTTGTTCACTATTTTTCTTAAAAGTAGTATTAAATGGAATTTCAAATTTAAAAAGGGTTAAATTGTCAAATGAATATTTATTATTCTGAAATTTCGGCATTCCAATGGGTCAAACAAAGACTTTTCATTCAACCAATGAAAACTCGAGAAGAGCGAAATTTAAGTCAAGTAGTTAAATTTAGAAAAAAAAACATAAAAGGGAAATACCCCAAAAAAAAAAAAGGAAAGAAAGAGAAAGAGAGAAAAATAAGTTTCTAAAGTTCGTTTGTTACCAAATTAAGCAAAGAAAAAACATTGAATGTTTAGTTGATTTGTTACCAATTTCGATTTTTATTGGGGAATAAATTTCATAGTTTGTTTTGTGGGGGTATTTAGCTAATTTCTGGTGAAGAGATTTGTGTTTTTGATCGTGGTAAATTATCAAAATTATGGCGGGTTCGCAGGATAAGCTTGATAAGATGCAACTCCGGCAAAGTTACCGGAATTTATGGCACTCCGATCTCATGAGCACCGTCTCGGCCGATACTCCTTGTAATTATCTCTGGCTATATGTATTTGAACGTTTATATTTATTTGGTTAGAGAATCGATCGAATAATTCTTGGTTATTTTTCTTCTTAATTTGGTTTCTGCAGATTGTTTCTTCTCGTGTTTGTGGTAAGTGGTTTCTGTTCATCACTATCGATTTCAATAAAACTTTTGTTATGTTATCTTGTTGATTATAGATCAAGAAATAGAGTTTTAACAAATCTAATCAAAATCTTGTGTTATTATAGGATCATTGATTTTAAAATTTTGTCAAAATCTTGTTTTCAACTTTTAATGATTTCTATATAACAGTTAAATCCGATGCTATTCAATATCTAATTTCTCTTTGCATTTTAACAACTTTTGTTATCATATTGGAGTTATATATTGAACCAAATGATGAACATGTTTTTGTCACTGAATGATTTTGGTTCACATCTAAATCTGCTATTCATGATGATTGTAGTGGACCTTGCGTTTCATACTTACTTCGGAAAAGAGCACTTTACAATGACATGTCAAGGTATTGAATTCTACTATCTGTAGAGTTGAACAATGAGATTTGTTTCTCATAAATAATGTTATTGTGTTGTTTTTGTTTTGTGAAGGTACACTTGTTGTGGTGGTTACATGCCTTGTAGTGGTAAGTGTGGAGAAAGCAAATGCCCGCAATTTTGTCTTGCCACTGAGGTACAAAATGAAGCCTTTGATATACATTTTGGTGAACAAAATGAGATGACTTGTGATACAATCTTTAATGTCTTGTGATAGAATCTTTCTCCTAAAAACTTTATTTGATTTTGTTAAGATTTCACTCCTTTTATGATCTTGTGATTTTTGACATTTCTTTAGGTGTGTCTCTGTTTCGGGAATTCTGTGGCATCTACTCGTTTTATGCTGCAAGATGAATTCAACATCCATACAACAAAATGCGACAATTGCATAATTGTACTTCCTAGTTTTCCCTCTTTGTTCTCACTTTCCGACGAATACATGTTTGTGTGTGTTAACATCTTTCCCATCTTCTTTCGTTGTTTTGCAGGGATTTATGTTCTGCCTCAACCAAATCGCTTGCATTTTCTCTCTTGTCGCTTGCATTGTAGGAAGTGATGAACTCTCTGAAGCTTCTCAGCTTCTTTCTTGTTTGGCGGATATGGTCTATTGCACGTATGTATAATCCCTTCCTCGATTTATATGTCGCTGACATGCTTTCGCTACATTAAATATAGCCAAATGGCTCATACCAAATGTTTATTATTGCTGATTCTGTACTCTGGTCTTGATTTTCAGGGTTTGTGCGTGTATGCAGGTATGCAAATCTAATTTTTAAACATCTTCTATTTTTGGTATGACCAAAAACCAATCTCCTCTCTTTGCTTGCAGACACAACACAAGATTGAGATGGACAAAAGAGATGGTGTGATTAGTCCTCAGCCAATGTCAGTGCCACCGGCTCAGCAAATGTCTCGCATTGATCAACCAGTCCCTCCCTATGCCGGTTACCCTCCAGCTACTGGCTATCCCCAGCATTACTATCCACAGACTGGCCATGGTTACCCTCCTGCTCCAGGCTATCCACCTCCCGGTTACGGTTACCCTCCTGCACCGGGATATCCGCCAGCTCCGGGATACCCACCAGCACCTGGATATCACTCAAAGTAAGAACTTTAACCGATATCTCAATCTTCCGATCAAAGTTGTGATTACTTTGCAAGTATATTATCCGATTTGTTGTCTCATCGATTTTCTGTTTTTTTTTTCTTTCTCTTAGATCTATTGAACCATTAACTCTAGAAAACCATATATATTAGTTGTGGACTTGGTTTATGATATCTATATGTTTAAATTTATACGTTCCAGTAATATTTTTCTCTAATTCCAAAGATTTGTCGGTCTACCGAACCGGTTAAGGTATTACCGATTGTCAACTTGTGCAAACAAATGAACAATGGTACGTTCCACCGTGGATCCGATCCATTGGAGGATGAGCTCTTGAGTAATCAAAATAAATAATGACAATTCGTAACACTAAAATATATAGTTAGTGCTAATAATTCGAGCATCCTTTTTTTTGCCTTTAGCCTTTCTAGTCAAAGAGGGTCAAATCCCACCATATATTAGTTAATTTTGCCGGATAGTAATTACTTAAAAGAGAGATTTCCCATTTTTGTTTGAAAATACATTCTTTTTGCCAATGTTAAAGACTCAAGTTATTGTAAATTAATCTTCAAAGTTAAATAATATTCTTATTAGACTGTCTAAATAGTAACATATCTACCAAACACTACTCTTTTTTCTACAATTTCTTCAAAACACTACTTGTGGTTAGGTCTGGGCATATGGGTAACCCGTTCGGATTCGGGTTGAATGGGTAATGAATTTATGGTCCATTCGGGTATTTCTAAATATTCAGTTCTGGTCCGGTTCGAGTATCGTCAGGTTCGGATCGGTTTGGGTAATAAGCATGAGAACCGAAAAAACCTGAAAATTTTGGATCCTCATTGAGTTCGGGTCTAAATGGTTAAAATTACCCACAAACCCGAAATATGACTCCAATACCCGAAGTTTTAAATCACTGGACATGCTCAAATGATCAAATAAAGAGAACTTAACATCAAACATGACAAATCACTGTACATGCTCAAATGATCAAATAAAGAGAACTGAACATCAAACATGACATCTAAAGACTAAATCCAATCCAAAATCACAAATAACTACTTAAGTCTTAAGTGTTAAGAGTAAATCCAATCCAAAATCACATGACATCGGATTGTTCGGTGACGGTAAAGTCGTCGAGAGTGTCACGACGAGAGTTTCCAGTTTCGATAATGAGACTCAAAAAGAGATTTTAAGCAGAGAATATTGAAGGAATATGGATTCTAGAAGGAAATTAGGAAACTCAATCGTCAAAACTCAAAAGCTAGGGCTATATGATTATATAACTATATATCTATATCTTATTATATAAAGTATGGTTTTCAAAGTTAATAACTCATACGATCGTGCCACGTGTCAAATTTATCGATCTCAGATTTTGACATGTATTAAACAAAATTCCTTTTATTTATTTTTAAAAATAAGAAACTATACATACATGTTAAATTTATCGATCTCAAATTTTATTTATTTAGAAAAAAATTAAAAGAAAACTATACGTATATATCTTATATAAAACAATTCTAAAAATCTAAAGAATATAATTATAAGAAACTAGATGTGTCTTATTAATTAAAAATAGAAATCTAAGAAAATAATTATAAGGTAACTATACGTATATATCTTATATAAATTTTTTTTTAAAAAGTAAAAATTTTAAGGAAACTATATGTATCTTATTAAATAAAAATAGAAATTAAAAAAATCATTTACTAATCCTAATTTAAAGCTACTAAAAATTGATTTTCAAAGGTTTAAAAATTAAATGTTTGGGTTAATTATTTTAGATCAAATGTATATTTTTAAGAGGAAGGGTTTAGTATTTAGGGTTTAGTTATGAATGTTCAAAGATTAATTTTAGTTTTGGTTTAATTTTGGAAAAACCAGAAATTAAGTGGAGTTTGGAATATTAAACTAATAATGATAGTTTTGGAAAACCAAAACTTAAGTGTGTTATTTTTTTTTGGATTCTCCTATATTTTTTTCATTCAAAATATTATATTTTTGTTAATCAATTTTAATTGTTAAAAAAACTATTTAAAAGTGAATGTAAAGAAACACGAGAAAAAAACATATACTTTGCCTTATATGGTCATAGAGATATTTTACAGTGGTAGTAAATAGCAGATTTCAACAATATAATATGATTGAGTGTAAAAAAAAAATTGAGTTAAAACTATTAAATTGTAAATAGATGTAAATAAGATGACAGTTTGACCAGTGGTTTATATTTTCAAAAAAAGTTTTAGAATCATATTCTAGGCGAAACTTCAAACAACATCTTTTTAGATTTAACTTAAATAATAGTGATGAATATCTTGGGAAAAATTTTGGTGAATGGTAATTTAAATTTACTTTACTATTATAATAAATGTACCAACAATTATAAAATATAGAAATGCAAATAAGTGTATTAAGGCAAAAGATGAATATATAAACAAATCTTCTATCTAGTTAAAATTTTATCTTCTTATCTCTTAAAATAGTTTCTATTCACAATAAAAAGTTGAACATGTTTTTTTGTTAAATTTTATTTTATTTTAAAAATTTAAAACCCGCACATCGGACGGGTCCTAATCTAGTACATATATAAACACATGTTTAAAAGCCTCGGGTTTATGGGTACCCAAAATAGGTAACGGGTATTCTCCGATCCGAACCGATACTCACGGGTAGACCAAAACTCTACCCAATAAGATAATTTCCTAATACCCTAACCCGCCCCAACCCGATTTTTTCGATCCAGGTATCGGTTCGGATATTGGGTCTGGCTTTTTTGTCCATGCTTACTTGTGGTAATCATCTTCATACAACTAAAATTATGTTCCATGTGATGTGAATATATAATAAATTCATGGTTTACCATACCCGGCCGACTTTCTAAAAGCTTCAAAAATTAGTATGTTTCGGTATAAGATTTTTACATATATGATATATCTAAAGAACGTTTTATTATATATTAATAAAATTGTATTAGTTAGTGTTACTTTATGAAGAAGAAAACAAACAAAAAGTCGTCATTACATTACTTAGTTGTAAAACTAGTAACTATTTTTTGGTTTGCATAATATAATTCACCGTTTGGTTTCAACTTTTTTTGTCCTTTCAATTTTTATAACTCTAGTATTCTAATCTATAACTCTACAATATTACTAGCTAGTATCATTTATCAATAGAAGCAATTATAATATTTTTTTGGAAAAAGGGTCTTTGTTACTTTGATGGTGTAATGGTAACCGAAAGCTTAATATGATTAGAAGCGTGTGGGGCTTTTCCTAATTGGGGGGTTAGAAAAATAGGCACAAACGCAGACAATCCTACGAAGGCCACGTGGCAACAGCTGAGCATATTCCACTTAAGGAGAAGTCTTCTTTGCTTAACGTTTGGACCTCTCTGTGCTCTCTCTGTGGTGGACCGTGAACTCTCCATTTCTAATTTCTTTTTCCTACAACAATTCTAAATCGTTGAAGACTATGTGGTCTTGAAAATTTAAATAATATGATGATCTTCAAATCATATCTAATCATACCTAATTTGGATCATAATTAGGAAACTACGATATGAAGTAAAAATAAATTTGTATCGATCTACGAGTAACTTCAACGGTCAAACGCACAGACCTCAACGAAAAGAAAATCCTCATATGTGAATTTGGTCAGCCTTCCTCTCTTGGAAGACATTATTTGCAAAAGTTATTTGTTTAAAATTAGTAAACTTAGTTACAATATTTGATATTTTTCATAACTTGTCGTATTTGAGGATAGTATAATGGAGTTTAATAAAAGAAATATATTTTAAAATTCAGATTTTATTAGGGCATTTAATACAGAGAGTTGTTTATATTGTTTTTTTAGCAGCTGCGTTATTTAAATTGTTTAATTAGATAATTTGTTACTTTATGTAAAACGTAAAATATGAAAGTTGAAGAACTTTAACATGATTTTAAGGCTTTTTAGTTTTAGCCTAATTCATGTTTAAGAAATTGAAATAGTTATTATTACCAATTTGTTAGTCCGTTAGACCGTGCTTTCCACATACTTTGGTCGTTCAGTGAATTGATCTTTTTATCAATAAACTGCAAGAACCATTTTTGGTAAGTAAGGGGTTCAAGTAAAATATTAATATCAGGTCGACTAAGGTTCCAAGAATGGTCAGACTAAAAGTATGACTATCTTGTCAATTTGTAATAAATTCTTATTTCACTCCCCTCCAAGTTGGAGTAAAAAAAAAAAGCCTATAAGTAGTAAAATGGATTAAGATTTCCATTTCATTTCCTTTTCTTTTTCCTCAACGGATAATACAAATTTCCTTCTTCTAATTTACCAAGAACCACCACCTATAATGCTATATTTACATATAACAACCACTCAACTAAAGATTAAACAAAAAAAAAACACAAAAAATAAGAAAGAAATTATTTTCCCATTTGCAGAAACTAATTCCACTAAAAAAGAAAAAAGAAGAAAGAAGAATCTAAGTTGATTCTGCGAGAATGTCAGATTCAGACCAAACTCGTTGGTTAAAAGCAACTTGTAACTCATCAGGAATAAACGGCATTCTACAAAGTGGACACGTCATCTGATTATAACCCATCATCCAACGGTCCAAACAGCTCCGATGAAATATGTGTTGGCAATTCGTCAGCCGTCGGATCTCGTCTTCGTTCTCGAACTCGTGGAGGCACACCGCGCAGCAATCTGATCCGGATCCGAATCCGGGTCGGTTTAGCTCCGAGAATCTGATAACGGGTAAGATTTCTCCTGCTAGCCTCGCCGCTACTGGAAAGAGAAATGAGCTTTCTTGGTGATGATGTGCCGCCGTGGACATAGACGGTGGTTCCGGCCATGATGATGACGATGAAACTGGGTCGGATTCGAGGAAGTCGGGTAGACCCAATATTCGAAAACCAGTGTCTATGAGTGTTCGGATTAAGCCTAAGAGAGAGAGTAAGTGAAGGAAGATTCTTGGGAGGAGGAGCTCAGTGTAGCCCACCGGATAACCCATGGCTCCGCCGTTAGAGAGAGAAAGCTTAAGAAATAGACAGAGAGGCGTTTAGAATTGGTAAGGAGAGAAAAAAGGTAGAGAAGAGTGGGATATATATACACGTGGGTCAGTGATATATATATGTTATTACATGCTTACATAATTAATTAGTAACTGTTATAATAATTACTTTATTATATGGTGTATATAAATATAAATAATGGAGAAACAATTATATCCGCAGAAAGATCGGGATATTAAAAATAAAGAGATGAGAGGAGGAGAGAGAGTTCTTATAACTTCTTATTGTTGAAGTATGAAATGTGATTTACAACGAACGAATTCGTTCGTTTATATAGGCAGGAAAAAGTAAGTTACTATGCATGCATAGTGACGGTGGGCTCCACACAAAATATTATTTTACGATCGTTTACGCATGTGTATTTGATGTTGCAGCTTTCCTTGACTTTTACAACACTCCCCCTTGGAGACCAGTGTCACTATGTCTCTTGCGTAATATTTTATGTTACCTCGTTAAAAACCTTTCTAGGAAAACCCGGTGGAAAAACCATAGTAGGTAAAAAGAGTGCAACCGCGCAAGCTCCCCCTCGAATGATCAGGATCATAACTTACAGTCTTGTTGACGACGCATTCCAATGTTATGAACATGTTTCCTGAATATAGAGGTGGGTAATGATTTCGTGAAGAGATCCGCAGAATTCTCGGATGATCGGACATATTTTACTTCAATGTCTTTATTCTTCACGAGTTCTTGGGTGTATGAAAAGAACTTTGGAGGGATATGTTTGGTTCTATCGCTTTTGATATATCCTTCCTTTGTCTGAGCAACACATGCAGCATTGTCTTCATACAAGATAGTTGGCTCTGTATTCAGACTAATTCCACTACTGGTTTGAATATGTCGACTTATTGATCTTAGCCACACGCATTCTCTACTCGCTTCATGGAGTGCGATGATCTCAGCATGATTTGAAGAAGTAGCTACAAGTGTCTGCTTTTGAGAACGCCATGATATAGCAGTACCTCCAATCGTGAATACGTATCCTGTTTGGGATCGAGCTTTGTGTGGATCTGATAAATATCCTGCATCTGCAAAACCAATCATTTGACCATTTATATTTTTAGGATAAAATAACCCTAAATCAATAGTCCCTTGAAGATAACGAAAGACATGTTTAATTCCGTTCCAATGTCTTCGTGTAGGAGATGAACTAAATCTAGCCAAAAGATTGACTGAAAATGATATATCAGGTCGAGTGCAATTTGCAAGATACATAAGGGCTCCAATTGCACTTAGATACGGTACTTCAGGACCGAGTATCTCTTCATTCTCCTCATGCGGTCGAAATGGATCACTCTCAACGTTAAGTGATCTAACGACCATAGGAGTACTCAGAGGAGTTGCCTTATCCATGTTGAATCGTTTTAGCACTCTTTTAGTATACGTGGATTGGTGCACAAATATACCATTTTGGGAATGTTCAATTTGTAGGCCAAGACAAAACTTTGTTTGTCCGAGATCTTTCATCTCGAATTCCCCTTTTAAATAGTTTGTTGCTTTCTGTATTTCATCTTGAGTCCCAATTATATTTAGATCATCAACATATACCGCGATTATCAAAAATCCGGATTTTGTTTTCTGGATGAAAACACATGGGCATATAGGATCGTTTACGTATCCTTCTTTCGTTAAATGTTCACTGAGACGATTATACCACATTCGCCCAGATTGCTTTAACCCATATAATGATCTTTGTAACTTTATTGCACATAACTCTTTGGGTTTAGATTTCAATGCTTCTGGCATCTTAAACCCGTCGGGAACTCTCATATAGATATCTGTATCTAATGATCCATACAAATATGCTGTAACAACATCCATGAGACGCATTTCTAAATTTTTATCAGCCGCTAGACTCATCAAGAATCTAAACGTTATTACATCCATAATGGGGGAATATGTTTCCTCATAATCAATCCCGGGTCTTTGAGAAAATCCTTGAGCTACGAGACGAGCCTTGTATCTCGTAATTTCATTTTTCTCATTTCGTTTTCTAACGAAAACCCACTTGTATCCAACCGGTCTCACATCTTCAGGTGTGAGTATAATAGGTCCGAATACATTTCGCTTATTAAGTGAATCAAGTTTGACTTGGATGGCATCCTTCCATTTTATCCAGTCGTGTCTCTTTTGACATTCATATACAGACTGTGGTTCTGGATCTTCGTTTTCCTCATTTATTTCTTTTGCTACGAGGTATGAGAAAACGTCATCGACTTCATCCATTTTATTTCGATCCCAGATCTTTCCATTATGGATATAGTTGATAGAAATCTCATGATTTCCTTCAGGCTCATGATGCTCATCATTGTCATTAGACTCATGATTCGTTTCTTCCAAAATGCTTTCTGCTATTTTGGGAATATCGATCTTTTCAGCTTCCTTTCGCTTTCTAGGATTTTTATCCTTAGAACCAACTGGTCTACCACGCTTCAGGCGTGTTCTAGACTCGCGTGTATCGTCTGCTTTTCTATGTTCTTGTGGAATTTCAATCCGAGCAGGAACATTTGCAGCTGGAATATGTGATTTGGTTATCGTTTTAGTATCTGCAAAAGCATCAGGTAATTGATTTGCTATACTTTGTAAATGCATAATTCGTCGAACTTCCAGTTCCGACTGTTTCGTAGGAGGATCAAGATGTAACAAAGATGGTACACTCCACTTTATATTCTTTCCTACTTGTTTGCTTTCTCCCCCTAGAACTGGGAACTCTTTTTCATCAAAATGACAGTCAGCAAAGCGTGCCGTAAAGAGGTCACCAGTTCGAGGTTCTAAATACCTTATAATAGATGGAGAATCATAACCCACATATATCCCTAACCTTCGTTGGGGTCCCATCTTTGTTCGTTGTGGCGGTGCTACAGGCACATATACCGCACAATCGAAAATCTTTAGATGAGAAATATTTGGTTCACGACCAAATACTAGTTGTAATGGGGAATATTTATGATATGCACTTGGTCTCATTCGGATAAGTGCTTCAGCATGCAAAATAGCGTGTCCCCATACAGAGGTTGGGAGTTTTGATCTCATGATCAATGGTCTTGCAATTAATTGCAGACGCTTAATTAATGATTCCGCCAAGCCATTTTGTTTATGAACATGAGCTACAGGATGTTCTACTTCAATTCCCGTTACCATACAATAATCATTAAAAGCTTGGGATGTAAATTCACCAGCGTTGTCTAGTCTAACTCTTTTAATAGGGTAATCAGAAAACTGAGCCCTCAGTTTGATTATTTGAGTTAGAAATCTCGCAAATGCCATATTTCGAGATGATAATAGACAAACATGTGACCATCTGCTGGATGCGTCAATTAATACCATGAAATAGTGGAATGGTCCACATGGTGGATGTATTGGTCCACAAATATCTCCTTGAATTCGTTCAAGGAATTTTGGTAATTCTTTATCAATTTTGGCTGGCGATGGCCTTATGATAAGTTTTCCAAGAGAACATGCGGCACATGTCTTTTTATTCCCATGATATATCTCCTGGATTTTCAATGGGTGTCCATGTGAGCTCTCTATGATTTTTCGCATCATCGAGGTGCCTGGATGACCGAGGCGATCATGCCATAATGTGAAATCTTCTGGATTTCTTTTAATCACTAGATGCGATTCGATTGCACTTATATGAGTATAATGCAATCCTGAAGGAAGTTTTGGAAAATTTTCCAATATAAGCCTTTTTCCCGATTTATCAGAAGTTATGTACATATACTTCTTTTCATTCTCAGTTGCAGACTGAGTATCATATCCTTGAAGGTATATGTCTTTGAAACTCAACAAATTCCTTTTAGATTTTGGAGAATACAAGGCATTTTTTATGGAAAACTTGGTTCCATTAGGCAACATAAAGTTGGCCATACCAGTTCCTTCAATCACGTCTACAGGACCTGATATTGTATTGACAATCATGTTTGTCGGTTTTAAGTTAGAGAAATATCTTTTGTCCTTTAGAATAGTGTGTGTTGTCCCACTATCTGGTATGCAAATTTCTTGAGCCATTTCCTTGGAGATTGTTTCATCCATTTCTGTGATTAAGATAAACATCAATAAAAAGAAAGTAAATTTTATTCATAAAAGGAAAACACACAATAATTATACATTAAATTGTTGTTAAAACAACATTATTTTTCAAAATAACAAAAGCATAATATTGTATATATGACATAACTAGAGACTATTTCAGCAGTCTCAATACAAGCTCTTTAGTTAACCGCAAAAGCGGTCTAATCCAAATCATTTGCAAAGGAGGGAGAATCGAGATACGATGTATCCTCGAAGTTTTCTGCTAAATTGACTTCTTTCCCTTTTCCTTTCGTGGAATTCATGTACAACTTACAAAGATGTGGGGGAGTTCGACACGTACGGGCCCAATGTCCCTTAGATCCACATCTATAACACACATTCTCACTCTTCTGGATGGAATTTTCTTGGTGTTCCTTCCCTTTTGAATCATTTTGAGGACGAACCCATTTAAACGACCCCCTTCCACGTGAGTTGTAATTTCTTCCACGCCCACGATTAAAACGACCACCACGACCCCGATATGATTGATTCCCTCTCTCGGGATAGTTTACATCTTTTTTCTCCGGATTTTTTACATCCGTTGCATTCACTTCAGGGAATGCTTTGGTTCCTGCAGGCCGAGCATTGTGGTTTTTGATGAGAAGTTCATTATTCTTCTCTACTATCATAAGCGCCACAATCAGCTCGGAAAACATTTTGTACTTGCAGTTCCTGTATTGTTCTGCAAGAACATAGTGCTCCTTATGGAATGTAAGGTAGGTTTTATTGAGCATTTCGTCTTCGCTCACTTTCTTACCACAGTATTCCAACTGAGCCACGATCCTTAACATGGTAGAATTATACTGTGCTACCTTGTTAAAATCTAGGAACCTCAAATTTGCCCATTCGTCAAGGGCATGTGGGAGAGTTATTGCTTTCTGGTTGTCAAACCTATTTTTTAAAGCTTTCCACAACTCTACGGGGTCTTTTACATTTGCATAATCATGCATCAGATTTTCATCTAGATGCTTTCTTAGAAAAATTATCGCCTTTGCCTTTTCATTGGCAGGTGATTCATTTTT